CTGTGTACAAATAGTATAGTTTCGCCAAAAAACCAACAAAAAAATGTATTTATCTTCATTTCGATAAGGTAATCGATATTAATATCGATAAATTTTTATGACAATAGTCACTGTGTATTAAATATTATATTATATATTATCGACCATCATTCCGACAATCTTTGATGCTGAAAGCCACTTTGTACACAGCCAAAGTTCTGAACTTGTTTATTATAATTTATTTTTTTTACTGCTTATTGAAGAATCACGTTTTGATTTCTTTTACGCTTTTTCCGTTGCATTTCACTGTTATTTACGCCACACACTCGCGGCAAGTGCTGGCCACTTGCTGCAAGTAACTGTAAATTAATGTAGTTACAGCCTCGGGTAGGCTGTTGTTTTCGTTTTTTGGTTTTCGCTGCGCTGCGCGGTGTGCGTCCAGTTGAGCGGAGAGTTTGTATGTAAATAAGTGTGTGTGTATATATATACCCAAGCATGTGCCGTTGGATGAGCAGCATCCATGGATGCTCATAAAAAGCGCTGGTCACAGTTTTGTTGTTGCTTTCCGTGCGGCCCGTTTTTTTCTATTGCCTACAACGTTGCAACATACATATGTACATACATACTCAAGCATATATGTACATGTAAGGCGCGTTTGTTTAGCCTCTTGTCTACATTCCTTATTTTCTTTGCACTTGCTTGTTCTTTACTGCTTTCTTTTTTATTTTTTTGCCATTGTGACCATTATGCGTGCCACTACCCTCACACGCTTCGTGCCACAACACATTTACCGTTCGATCAAGTTCATTGTGCGTTGACAAAATCGCCAATTTAAGTTTTTTTGCTGCCATTTTCTTCTTTGGCTTCGTCATTCCGCTGCATTAATGACTGTCTGTATGCTGTTGTTGTTTGTGAGCAAACTTTCACAAGCAGCAACATTTACATTATGGTGTATGCACTTGTTGCGAGTTGGTGTGTGATAGGTGTATATAGGCAAATACATACATAGATCTTCACATGTTCATGTATGTATATACATATACAGTGTATAATACCTATGTAGCAGCTCAATCGATTTTCTATTATTGTTGTGTTATTGTGTACTGATTACGATTGACCTATGACTAAGTAAACGTGATCGAAAAGAAATAAATAAATMAAGTATATATTTTACGTTTATTAACGACATATTCCTATTTCAAACATATGTGGGTATGCAACCATTTACATACATACTACATGTACATATGTTATATGCATGTGTATGTATGTATACGAGGATTGTTTTTAGAATTTGCAAAATGTTATACCTTTGGTTTCTCTCATTTAAAAACATTTCTTTTGTGATGATGGTTCAACTTTAATAATTGCAGTAAATTAAAAAAAATATTTTCGGGATTTCGGGGCTTTTACTATTGCACCATTAAATATTTTCGCGATTTCGGTGTTTTTATAAAAAAAAAAAAAAATTTTTTTTTGTTTGATGATTTAATTTTAATAGTTTTACAAAATTTGCAAAATCATTTTCGGGATTTCGGGATTTTAGTATTTAAAAAAAAAAAGTAAAATAAACTTAATAAACTCGTTATTTTGAGCACATGTATTTTCGGGATTTCGGCACGCATAAAATTGCAACTCTAAACTTTTTGGGAATTTCGGTATTTCTCAAAAAATTGTAAATTTATCGATATGCGTTTCGATAATTTTAGATGACCAAAACTCCTATGTACAAATAGTATGGTTTCGCTGAAGAACAAACAAAATCTGTCTATTCTCAATTCGATAAATTTATCGATATTCAGTTCGATACTTTTTGATGACCAAAATCACTGTGTACAAACAGTATAGTTTTGCTAAAAACCAACAAAAAAATTTATTTATCTTCATTTCGATAAGTTAATCGATATTAATATCGATAAATTAAACATTTTCGCGATTTCAGTATTGTTATAAAAAAAAATTTCAATTTTGATGATTTAATTCGAATAGTTTTACAAAATTTGCAAAATCATTTTCGAGATTTCGGAATTTTCAACACCAAACATTTTCGGGATTTTAGTATTTAAAAAAAAAAAGTAAAATAAACTTAATAAACTCGTTATTTTGAGCACATGTATTTTCGGGATTTCGGTATTTCTTAAAAAATTTTAAAATTAACTAAATATTTTATTGAAATTATTATTATTTTTTAAATTAAATTTGCATATGAAAAATGCATGTATAGCAAATTTTAAGTTTCGGGACTATTGATATTGCAACATTAAAATTTCACAGGATTTCGGCATTTAAAAGAAAAAACTTAAACCTAGATTGCAATAAAAAAATATTTCACTTTTTAAATTTGCACAGTGCTAATGAATGCACTTTCGGGATTTCGGGATTCATTATATTGCAACATTATTTACAGAATTTGGTAGAGATAACGAAAAATATAGATCTACGATGATTTTTGTAATACCACTCCATTCATTTTCGAGATTTAGGGATTCTCAAACTTTTTCTCTTTGTTAAATTTGTAAAATTTTAATCATTGCATTAAAATTGCATATTTTCGGAATTTAGTATTCATAATATTGCAACATAAAACATTTTCGGAAGTTCAGAGGGATTTCGGATATTCTTCCATATAAAATGGAGAATAAGTAGGCATAGGAGTCCGTAAAGGTTTTTTCAGGCTTTCTTACATCAAAGTCTATTGAGGGTTCATAAGAGATCAGATGGTTTACGAAAATTTAATCCATCACACAAATGTGGAATTAAGTAAACACAGGAGACTAGATGGATTTCGGAACATCTATACACCAAAAAAATCTCTTAGAACGACGAAAGGACGATATAATTTTTCGATATCTTTCTTACACAAACTAATGAAGAGCCCGTAGAGTGGTATATTCTAGAACAAGAAAACTATTTTAGATTCTAAGAAACCGAAAATATTCTGCGTACCATTAGACTTAGCGCTCTCAAGAGCGGCTATCAATAAGCACACCAACAATTGTTGTGTCTAATTAACCCGGAACTAACTGAAACCAAAAAAAAGAAGCTTTCACTGACGTGCCGGTCGGTCAACGGCGGATATTTTGTCGCACGGCTATTTTTATGCGCCTATTTCGGTCGACGAATGCCATTTGCCGGCAGTTGCTAATTGTGCGATTGAAAAAAAAAGTTGCGTCTAAATGTGAAAATACCTGCGTAGCGGTCGTTGAACGCCGGCGGCCAATTTACAATCGAAGTATCTCCAAACGCCAAGCGCCCAAGCCGCGGCCGTCAATCGACGCACGACAATCGCCAATGGCAAATCGCTTATGGCGAACAATAGCGTCTCAGGCATTCATTGGCAAGCAATTACGCACCGCTTGTGAGTTCGTTGCAATGCGTTTTCTTGCAATGTGCTAAGTTGCATGCAACAAAAAAAAAAAAAAAAAAAAAAAAAAAAATAAAAAAAAAAAAAAAAAAAAAAAAAAAAAAAAAAAAAAAAAAAAAAAAAAAAAAATGTTAAAGTAACAACAAAAACAAACGCAGTGAAATAATAATTGTGCGTGCTTAAAATTTCCACTGTACAAATGTGCGTAATTAATTTGTTAATTGAATGTGCATTAAATGCCAACAACAAACACAACAACCAGAGTGAAATTTACAAACTGTCGACGGCGCTGCTCGCGTGCGCGCCAAGACAACTAAATGAAATAAAATTGTTTGAAATGTTCCCACAAGGTGATTAATCATTTTGCACACCGGCAATGCGGCATAATTTTCGTTAAATTAGTTAATTGCCTTTAAATGATTGCTCAAACATTTTTCATTTGACCGATAAAGTCATTCGGCGGCTTCTGGGTGTTAATTTATGTTCGTTGCCAACTTTTCGCTTAATAATAGTTTATTTCAATATTTTTGCTGCAAACCGTTATTTTGTGTTGAATATTTTGTTGCAGCTCAAATTTGCTGCCGCTAATTGATTTTTTATGAGCYAATAATAATAAAGCTTTGCTGCTGGCGTGTTGGGAAAGTGAAATTTGGAAAACTTTTTATGATCCGGAGATTTACTTTTGCCAAAAGCATTTAAAATGTGGAAAATATGAGAAAATTACCGGTAACTGAGTGCATAAAAATATATTGAGAGTTTGAATTTTAATTTATTTTAGTATCTGAGCATTTCGAAAGCGCCAAGGAAGCTGGCAAGTAAAGCTTTGTTATTTTTAATAAATAAATATATGAGTAATGAAAGGCTTAACTACATTTTTAAAAATCCTTGGGGGGATAATTGCACTCATTAATGGAAAAATATGAGTACTTGAATGGGTGTACATAGATAATTAACTAATTATTTATTTTAATCAAAGTTGAAATGTGTAATATTTTAGGGAAATAAATTTAAGTAGTGAAAGTAAGGTAAAAACCTAACTTTAAAAGTAAAAACAATATACCGAGATAATTGATAACGTATTAAATGCTCTCCATGAATGTGGAATCGGATAAAAGAGGCTTTTTTCGAAAATTATGCAGCTTTGTCGGAAAGAGTCGAGCAAGAAGGCGTTTCATGCTCAAAATATACACCAAAATTATTCGAACAGACTCGTGAGAGAGCTTAAGCTATCTTGTTATATCATATTCTGCACTTTTTTTTTTAATATTTTCAACATTTTTTTTTAACATTTTTAAATAAAAGATAATTCATGTGGACTTTTGGGCTGTTTGTCTCAGAAGGCATGAAATAAGGAGAAATATTCGAATGGCTCTCCCGTATAATATTTTGAGTTCTGGTTGTTCGAAAAGGCTTAATCTGCAACAAGATATTCATGAAACACTCAGTATAACAGTTTTTCTACTGAATCGCTTACCACCGACTATTAAATTATTTCTTTTACAACCATGAGGTCAAATATTTTTCTGAGAAGCTACAGTAATTACTAAATTGTTTTATGCTAACTCAGTTAAATATATTTTTTTTTCTTCTGAAATATTGTAAGATCATTAATTTTCTATAATAATTAATGTTCAAAATTTATTATTATTTATTGCAGAGCATAAACTAAATACTAAAAACACTAAGTAACAGAAAAAGCATGGTGAAACAAAGTAAGCGAAATAATTCTAGTGAAATTGAAAGTAAAATTTTATTTACAAGAAAAATTACAAGCAAACACAACGGAAGTGAATAAAAGAGTGAAATAGGAAACCCACAAAGTGCACGAAGCATTAATACATACAAAAAATATATACAAAAATATATACAAATATACCGAAGTTCAATTACAGTTTAGTGAGTTACTAAGGGTCATTGAAGAAAGAAGTCTTAAAAAGTGTAAAAAATCAAGTTATTTAATCAGTTTATGCGTAAAATGTTGTTAATTTGAAATAAAAATCAGCTAAACAATAATGAAGATAATAAGAGAGAAATAGAGAGAAGCTTGAAGTTGAAGTAAAGCAGTGCAACTGCTTAATGAAATCAATTAATAAAGTCTAAAGTGCATAAGCAATAATTCTTAAACACTGTGACAACAAATTCTGGCAGTTTATGCATAAGCTTTGATATTGGAGAGCACGAAGCAGAACAGAAAAGTGGGGAGTAAGGAGATTTTCATAAAGCAGCTGTAAGTGATTATTTTAATTGTACTAAATAATTTATATTTATTATATTATGGCATTAACGTTTTTTATATTATCTAAACTGAAAATCAATATTTTGAAATCTAGAAATTTTTAGGTTATGTCTAACTCAAATTTAGTTGGTTTTATGAAAAAAACTTTAAGTTTATGTTACACATGAAATCACTTACTTTTCATGACTCAAAAACACCTACAGAGAATAAAGTAGGTATACTATATATCGTCACTTAAAATGCAAAACAAGGTATCTTCAAAAAAAAAAAAATCAAAATTCAGTTTTTTGTTGCTTACGATTCACGACACCATATTATACTTATCTAGCATGAAATTTTCGAATTCCACTATCAGGTATTAGCAATATATAACCATTTTATAAACAAAACTAATTTTTTCAATATGAGTGGTTTCTATTATATCGTTTTCCTTCGCCTGTAAACTTATGAAAAGTGATATTACGCTACTTTGAATTTTAACTGACGATATATTTATTCTATACAAAAATATTTTTAAATATCTTTAGCAGTTTTTTTTTATTAATATTTTACACGCCAACCTTGACAGCTCGCGCGCTTTACTTCATCATCTTGATGCCTATTACTCATTAGCAGTTACTGGCTTTACCTTTCTCGTCTACTCAAATGAGTTAATTTATAACGATTTGAATCACTAAATAGAAACAAGCGTTCTCATTGTTGTCTTTTAAGCGCTTGCAGTTGTTTTTTACTACAAAAGTATATTGGCTAAAAGCATTTTTAACTTGTTTCTACATTTAACGGACGCAATATTGCAGATGCGGAGCTTTTTATTCGGTTTATTAAGCGCTATTGAGCGGATGACGCTATAAACTAAGCATGAGTCAAAAGTTGTTTCAGCCAATAAAGTTGAAAAGGAAATAGCAACAATAAAACCAAACTATTGCCTAATTGATATTAATGAGAAAACAGGGTTTCACAGTTATAGACTTAGAAAATTGGGTTTATTATTTCGCATGCAGTGCATAGTATGATACAAAGCGAGAAAGAGACACGATTATTAGACGTAGAATTTCACCAAAACAGTTAAGTGGTTGGCAACAACTGGCTTAGAGCTTTATAGTTTGATGAGTGCTCAACGTTAAGTGATACTTCAGATAGCCGAAAATGTAATAGTTTCAAGCAAAAAAGAGTTCAATGATAGTTGAAGCTTACAGAAGATTTTATTTTCTGAAATTTGGAATCGCTTATCGACTATTATAAATCGAAAAAGTCGAGAGATACACACATCATTCATTTATAAAAATCTTCCATTAACGTGGTCATAAATTAACTCAACATAAGAATATATATTCTCCATCTATTAGCAATGTAGCGACTTTATTGGCGTTATATATGATATCGACACCTCGCATATGACCACAAATATTGGTTTGCTGGTTTTGTTGGAGTTCTGCTTCTTGATAAGCTATCAGTCCTCTATACCAGAAATGCATTTATTTTGTACCTTGATGTACAACAGGATCTTTTCGTCTGGCTCCTCTAGAGAAGGCACTCAAATGCATGCACAATGTTTTCTTATGCTAATCTTGGCTGGTATAAGCTTCAATTCGAGTCGCACAAATGCGTTTAGCGACACTACGCTTAAGAAAATGCTTTCGGAGTAGTCAAACTCCGGTTGATTAAATGTCGCATTGTGAAGTATATAGCTTAATAGCTTATACGTCACCCATCTCTCCTGTATGGTGCTCGGTGAGGAGGAGTTCCCGTTTATGGCAGCCACCGGCGGGTTGTCACTGGCCACATTGCTGCAGTGTATTGCTTTTGGTGCGTTGTTCTGCTCTGTTCCTTGTCAGGGTTCTTTGGTCAGTCTTCCATTTTCTGAGCGGTTCCTTTTCTGAGAACGGCTTTACCAGTTGGTTTCAGTCAGAGGTTCTGATTGCTTTCTTTTCAGTAAGTCGATTTAATGTTCACCAAATATTTTACAAAACCTTTCGCTGTGAAGCTGCAAGAACCACTTCAAAGCAAGTTGTTGTCGTCTACGTTTCATAATCGCATATTTGGACGGCGTGAATGAGAGACCTGTCAGTGCTGGCTCGGATCGTCGAGGATTTTACTCCACAATTGCTTACTCAATGTGTTTACTTGCTTTCTCACGGATTTATATGGTGTGCTATACTTTAGAAACCGCCTTCATTTCAAGAGTTTTCATTGTTAACGAGTTTGTCTACACAACGAATGTTCTATTGAATCCCTGTTATATTAAAAAAGGATGGTTTTGTTATTAAACAGTTTACGGAGTGCTTTAAACCTCATATCGATGGGATATTTCTTCATTTATCGATACTTGAAGCTCTATCTAAGTTACTTCTGCTTTGACAAAAAAAAAAAAAAAAATATATATATATAATATATACTACAATATTAAGAGCAATATTGCCATTGTCAAGGTTTGATAACCTTGATATTTATAACACTCAAAGGTCTTTTAATAACTCGACTGCTATATCATTTTAATATATTACAAAAATATTTATATCATTTCTGCAAATTTAGAAGTCCGCGCTTGGTCTGGCTAACTGAATGAATGCTCAGCAGAGCAGAACACTTAATTTTTGCGCCATATATAATACATTAAACCTAAAAAAAAACGCACATAAGCGTTGTATATAGTATGAGAAACTCACACTTAAAGTTACACGCAAACCTCGAAAGAGGCGCGCAGTCTTTAAACTAAAGTTAGTGGAGCCTATCGTTCATTCATTTAGTTAAAATATAGCAACATATGGCAAATCGCACGAACTCAGCGACAAACTGGTCGCGTGACTGACTCATTGCCTAATTGATATTTGGTCTGGTCATCAAGTTATATGACGCGTTGAAGGTTCTGTCATATTAGCGTTCTACTGACTGACTATTTGACTTATTACTAAATAGTCAGACTGTCTTTTTGCCCCTTACAGCATATATTTGGCACATCTTACTCTCTTGTTTGCTATACCGATATATTATATATAGATACCATCTACATATATGTTCTCCTTACTCGCCTGCTCGTTTTCCCAATAAATATCTCCCGCCTAAGTCTGCATATTTGCTTAATTGTTGCAAGAACAATTAAAGTAAATTAAAAGCTACGCCAACCGCTTTCTCAGTCACTTACCATTCTTCACTGACTCTCTTTTGTGTAATTGCAATTGAATCGTGTAAATCTTCACACAATCTGCACGGAAATGCAGCGTGATTGTCGGCGGTTGATTATGTGAATTTATTGTCTGGAGCGTTGACAAGAAGCTTCTATATATATAATTTTACATAAGAGTCTGCTTGATCCCGCGTGCATAGTCTGCTTGAAATAATAATAGCAAAAAGCACGAAGACTTTTAGACGTGAACGTACGCGTGATATGAGAGTTTATACGCTGAGTTGAGGTTCTCCTTACTCCTGATTTATGATTTTATGATCTATTATCTAACTCATTGTCTGTTTATTGGTGATGCAAAGATATTACTTTAGTGTGTGAGAAAGCGGCATAACAGCAGGATAAACTGCTATTAATATCAAAGCTTTCAAGTTTATTGGCGCCATTTACCATTTTGGTTTTAATATTGAGGAAATTGAGCTTTATAGTCGTGCAATTTTCGAACAAAAATTTTTAGTTCATATTTCCAGTGGGAAGGTATCACAATTAGCATATAAAAACGAAAATATATTTGAGTAACTAATTGAAGAAAATTGTCGTTTAGATAAAAGTTGGATACAAAAAGATTTTTTTATAAAACAAAAATGAAAATAGCATTCCAAAGAGAAGTTATACAAAAATTTTGTAAAAATTGTGGAACTATATTTTAGAAAGGCTCCATTTCGAAACCAAGATACCAATATAAAAAACCACAAATACTGACTAACTGTCTCCAGATGTTACTTTGTCCATCGCTGTGAGAAATACAGATATATATATACATACATACTATATACTATATATACAGCACATTTATAAAATTTTATAGCGTCATAAAAAAATTATGTTGCAAGAAGCGAGAAAAAGGTGAATTCACACAGAAATTTCAGAGGTGACAAGCGAATGGAATGGCAACAAAACTGCAAGTAAAGCAAAAAAGGCGACACATAGTGCCACTCGATGTAGACATTGGGTGCTTAAAACTGTAGTGCAGATTAGAGTTGCCACCAATGAACAGTTAAAAACAAAGTCAGTCGGTAAGGCTAACATAATCTTTTACATACAAATATTTACCATTCTGAAGCTATGTGTCGTTGAGCTATGCAGAACATGTGTTCAAAATGTACGAAGAAGATGAATAAAACCAAAAAAAAAAAAAAAAAAAAAAAAAAAAAAAAAAAAAAAAAAAAAAAAAAAAAAAAAAAAAAAAAAAAAAAAAAAAATAAAGTAGAAGAACAACAATAACTACTGCTTGGGCGACTAAACGGCATATCTAGTAACCACTTGCCATAAAACACAGAGCAATAAAGTTCAGTGAACTTGGGAGGTGTTGACAAATGGTTTAACGTTAAGTGGACATTGAACTTAATGAAAGGTATTGGCGTTATGCAACGGTAGTTGTAAAGTGATTGTAGTTATAGAAGGGCATCAAAATGTAGATCAGAAATTTTTCAGACTGCAAGAACTGTTATACATTCTTTTTCTTAAGTGGTGGTAAAAAAAAAAATATTTGTATCTTTGTGAAGCGCCTAACTGAATAATTATCATTAATTTTTTATAA